CATAATGTATACAGTACATAATGTATGCAGTACATTATGTACTGTATACAGTACATAATGTATACAGTACATAATGTATACAGTACATAATGTACTGTAGTGTATCTAGTACATAATGTGTTGTATAGTCCTGTAGTTTCCATCAGACCTGCTTATGGTTGTGCTGTAGTACAGGTTCAAGTGAAATCACAAAGTACGTCAGATTTCCGTGTTGTTTGCTTCAGTAACTCTACGAGTTGACTCCAGTGTTAAACACGTTGATGTTATGTGCACGTGTCCAGGTGTTGGCAGGTCTGTACACCCCCGGGGATGGACATATTGACCCGTACTCCCTGACTATGGCTCTGGCTGCTGGAGCTCGGATGTACGGCGCTCAGATCTACAGTCCAGCTCCAGTGAGCGCCCTTAGCCCGAGGTCTGATGGCACCTGGGACGTCCAGACTCCTCATGGAATAATTCGTGCTAATCGTATTGTCAACACGGCAGGTTTGTGTTTTCTGAACCACTACTGTAAAAGTTACAAACCAAGAATCCTTGAAGGAAACCTCCCACTGCCTTCCATCATCTGATGCTGAGCAATGACAGAGCTGTAGTGGTTTTGGTTTGAATAGAATAGAATAGAATGGAATAGAATAGAAACAGCCTTCATTGTCCCATGGACGGGAAATTCAAGTGTAACAGCAGCAACAGATAAAAAGATAAAAAAGATTTCAGGTTTAGTCTTCTTTGTGATGTTCTGCAGTGTCATGTGATTCTGTAAAATGTGTCATCACTCATAGTTTATTCTTAGGATGACTCTCAGCTACTACCACACAAAATGTACCACAGTTTCTACAATTCTGACAGTGTTATAGGCATTTTTGCTTTAAAGCTGCTCAGCTGTGATGGTCAACTTCAATTGAACTGGCTCCAAAAGCTAATTAGATGTAATCAATACATATAACGCTTGGACTTAGTGGATTTTCACCTACTGTGGGGGTCTCTGGAGTGAACCCCTAACATGAGGTCGCCACAGAGAACTGAGTTGCACGAAGACTTGGCAGTTATTTTTACTCCGGATGCCCTTCCTGACGCAACCACAGACCACCGAGCCACCACAGCCCTAGGGCACCCAGGGGAGCCAATGGTGGGGGTTAAGGGCCTTGATCAAGGGCCCAGAGTGGGGCAAATGAGGGTGGAGGCAGGTGTGGGTGCTTCACCTTTCCCACCCACATTTTGACATTGTCGATACCGGGAGTTGAACCGGCGATCTTCCGATCACAGGCCCACCTTCTCTAACCTCTGCCCCACCACTCTCAGGGCACTTTACAGGAACATTCACATAAAAGCCAGTTAGTAAAGTTCTCTATCTAAGGAATCCAGCAGACAAGTTGAATCTTGGCTTCGTTGCAGTCTCCCATCCTGAGCAAGCACAGTGGAGACAGTGGAAAGAAAAACTCCCTTTAACAGGAAGAAACCTCCAGCAGAACCAGCTCAGGACAAGAGACCATCTGCTTTGACCGGCTGGTTGAGAGGACAGGAAGGAGAGACAGACCAACACAGAATGGTAGGTCCAGGTATAGGTCCAGGTCCAGATATAGGTCCAGGTCCAGGTATAGGTCCAGGTCCATGTATAGGTCCAGGTATAGGTCCAGGTCCAGATATAGGTCCAGGTCCAGATATAGGTCCAGGTCCAGATATAGGTCCAGGTCCAGGTATAGGTCCAGGTCCAGGTCCATGTATAGGTCCAGATATAGGTCCAGGTGTACCTGAAAGACAAAAACATGTTAAGGATAGAAAAAATAATTAGCTCAGGAAACCCAAGCCGACCCTAACTATAGGATTTATCAAGAAGGAAAGTCTTAATCCCAGTTTTAAAACTGGACAATGTGTCAGCCTCATGGACAGAAACTGGAAGTTGGTTCCACAAGAGAGGAGCCTGAGAACTGAAAGATCTTCCTCCCATTCTGTTTTTGAAAACTCTAGGAACCACAAGTAAACCTGCAGTCTGAGAGCGAAGTGCTCTGTTAGTAAAATATGGAACAATAAGATCTGTAATATAAGATGGAGCTAGGTTGTTGAGGGCTTTGTAGGTTAGAAGTAAGATTTTGAATTCAGTTCAGGATTTGACAGGGAGCCAATGGAGAGAAGCTAAAACTGGAGAGATATGATCTCTCCCAGTAACTCCAGATATATATATATATATATATATATATGTATATATATATATATATATATATATATATATATATATATATATATATATATATATAACAAATATATACTGTATATATATGAATTTTAAAAACTGCTAAGTTCATGGTAAAAACCCAGACAGACATGTTCCTGTTTTTAGTATTTTACATCGCTTTTTTGTTTCATTTTTTTAAATAGTTGATTTGATTTAATTTTCATTTTATATGCTTTTATATGATTGTTTATTGCTGTGTGTACCTGATTTATGTATTTTGTTGAAATCAGGTGTCTCTTGTAAATGAGTCCTCGGGGCTCAGTGGGATCTACCTGTCTGAATAAAGGTTGAATGGATTAAGCAGAAGATCAGCAGGTCTGAAGAGTCCTGGGACAGAAACACTGAGTTCAATCTGTTTCTTGTTCAGTAAACGTTGCGTCCAACGCCAAACGTTTGTGTCCCTGCAGCCGAGCAGAGGATCTTATCTGTGGACACGTCCAGCTGCAGCGACCTTTGACCACAGCTGTAATCTGAGGAGTTCACACAGGACAGGTTTGGGTTTGAACCGGGCCAGTCTGGTTCTGGTTCTGGTTCAGGAATGTGCTCGAGTCTTTGTCGAGGCGTTCTTCTCTCAGGAAGGTGTTGTGTAACATGGCAGTATGTAGGTCGTGTTTCTTCATGATGAGTCATGTTTTAACATTAAGGTCATAAATAAAGCAGGTGAAAATGAAACAGGAAGTACAAAGCTCGTTTAAATGAACACACAGTGTTTAGGACTTCAACGTTTGGAGCTTTTAACGTGACGTAGCTGCGTCGTTTGGTCTAATTAAAGCCAGATGCCTTCAGCCCATCAGGCCGGCACGTCCTGAAGTTTGTGGCACGTTTTTAGACTTTTGCTGCAGCATTTTTTCTGCGCAGGCGTCGGTGCTGGATCAACTAACTGGTCTATTGTTGGATGTATTTTCAGTCCATCTTTTCTCTTGTTCGTGTACCAGTGTTGGTTTCTGTATCTGCAGACGTCCCTGTTCAGTCTTTCTGCACGGATTTCTTCAAATAGAAACCAGAAGGATCAGCTTCAAGTACAGTAACACCCCCCCCCCCCACACACACACACACACACACACACACACACACACAGGGGAACTAGCCAGCATCAAATTTCATTTACACACACAAGAGACAAAATGTCTCCAAGAAAACAGAAGAGGGGTCTGTGCACGGTGACAAGATTTTCTTTTTTGGAACCAGTATGAAAGAAAGAGCTCTTATTTAATAAAAAATATTCATTAAAATATGAGCCGGTCGTCTTGTTCTGTCCTGGGCAGCCTGCACGTGAAGAAAAACACGAGCAGTAGAGGTTTACAGCTGAGACTGTTGAACATCACAATCAGAATAAACTTTATTATCTTTGCACCGAGATACAACGAGAACATGCACGTACAGTCGTCTGAAAGATGGACAGAGTGCACGACGCTGCTACTACAAAAAGCACAGCCTCTTATTCTTATTCAGAATAATATTTTGCTTAGATGAGAAAAGGAAAGAAAACATGAGGAGAGACGGTATAAAAAAAGATCTCTCACTCCGTGTCCTAGACAGGGCACGATTTGAGGCATCAAACAAACCTCCACAGCAAAGCAACATGAACAGACGTTATACATGAACATACAGGCGGTGAAGATGTTGAAGTTTTAAGGGAAAGTCGTAGCATAGTCCAGAGCCCCCCCCCTCAGCCATTGTCCAGACAAGAGGTGACGTTCATCTTCAGCTCAGTTGAGGTTCTGTCACATGTCCTTGGGGGAGGGAGGGGTGAGGAAACAGTCAAAGCATCTTTGTTGATTTCCAAACATTCCAGGAGGAGTTGAGATAAGTCCGGCATCGAGGCCACAGTTTGGATCAGGCAGAACTCATGAATTGTTGTTTCTGCCTTTAAAGTCTCGCTGGTACATATTCTCTGATGGAAACTCCAAACAGCTGAATTGGTTCCTTACGCCAAAAGTCGATCTTACAGCTCCTCCAAGATTATTCCAACCATTCTTGTGTGCTGCCAGAAAGTTCACAGTCCTGATACCAGCTGCTCCAGCTCTGACGCA